ATTTTTTTTTAGAGGGGGGGTGGGAAATAATAATTATGATTTTAGAGGGGGGGGGAAATAATAATAATGAAATGGCTTTTCATTCCATTATTATTATTTGGGGGGGGGGAGGGGAGGGGGGGGTCCATTACCATTATTTTAGAGAGGGGGAGGAAATAATAATAATGAAATGGCTTTTCATTCCATTATTATTTTTTGGGGGGGCTACTACTACTACTACTACTACTACTACTACTACTACTACTGCTACTACTGCTACTACTGCTACTACTGCTACTACTGCTACTACTACTACTACTACTACTACTACTACTACTACTACTACTACTACTACTACTACTACTACTACTACTACTACTACTACTACTACTACTACGGGAGGGGGGGGGGGGTTGTCATTCCATTATTATTATTTAGAGGGGGTGGGAAATAATTATTATTATTTTAGAGGGGGGTGGAAATAATAATAATCAAATGGGGGAAATAATAATAATGAATGGCTTTTGATTCCATTATTATTATTGGGGGAGGTCCATTATTATTATTTTAGAGGGTAATAATAATGAAATGGCTTTTCATTCCATTATTATTATTTGGGGGGGGAGGGCGGGGGGGGGGGTCCATTATTATTATTTTAGAGGGTAGGGGGAAATAATAATGAAATGGTTTCCCTTTCCATTATTAATATTTGAAATTTGAAATAATGCCAGGGGGTCTCCATTATTTCTTCGCGTGCCCCCTGCTTTTTCAGCTCACTGAAATTAAGAAGAGCCCGGGCGGCATCAGGAAAAACTTATCGCCGATGCCGTACTCCAACGTCCGCTGGTCACAGATGCGTGCGTAAGGCAGGAAGTAGGTGTTCCAGACTCCATCCTGGGAGTTGCCATGGATTTCTCTGCCTTGTGGGTCTTGCTTTGATTTTGCTTGTGTTTCGTGGAAGCAGGCTGTAGACAGATACGGGCTGCACCTTTCAGACAGGGTTGGGGAAGTTGCGCATCTTGCACCGTGCACCATTTACCAAACAGTGCGCGGTCCTCGTTGATTTGGAAGGCCGCTGAACTCTTGTTGGTCTGCAATGCCTCGACACACCAACTCTTGAATTCATCTGCGTGCAGCAAAGGGGGAGCTGCTGTGGCAGCTTTGAGGTCAAGCTTCGGCGAGGCCTTCTTGAACGCAGTGTGGCCGCGGCGGGTCCTGTTGGCCTGCAATCATGTCGGCAGAGCGCGGAGCAAATCAGTCGATGACCAAGGCAGCGCCCAAAGCATGTCGCACACCTTGCACCTTGCACCTACCGGGAGGAGCTGGACAAAGGCACAAAGCACCAGAGCAAGCACGGCAGGCCTTTGCAGTGGAAAGTACCGACTGCGGCGCCTTGGTAGGCCATCTGCTGGAGCCTACTTGGAGTTTCACCAACGTGCTAGCAAAGACTAGAGTGTCTGCGGGAGTTGTGATCTAGATTCCAGTGGTCAGCCTTTATATCAGAGACTGGTTGTAGAGCCGGTGTTCTCTCCAAATAACTTCGCACAGCTCGTCGCTGCATGTCACCGGAACCTAGTCGATGGGGTTTTGTATTCAAAGCTGAAGAACAAGGCCTTCTGATGCCCCAAGCCCCAAGCAGCAACGCGCTGTCTGTGCCCCTGCAGCATGGCTGCATTCTCGCCACCTTTGAAGGCCGAAGGACTGCGTTGGTTCATGGTTCTCTGGGCGCTCTCGCATCTGCACGGTCTAAACGACTCCCAGAAAGCATTGAAGGAGTAGGACAACGTCCAAGCTGCCGTCGCAGGCGTCTCCGCTGATGCAGCTCGCGCCCGCAGCATGCAGGGCAGCGGCGAGGACGCAGGCGACGGCCCTGAGAGCGTACATCCCTTGGGGCCTGAAAAAGGCACCTCAAAGCCTTCCCCCTCCCAAGACGCGCGCAACTTCTCACGAGTCTCACCCTTTCAGTCCCAGCGTCCACACCATGTTCTGCCTTTTTCGGGCTTTTCTGCCTCTCCCTTGGTGTGAAGGCGGCACGACCTCTGCCCAAACGGCTGCGGCCAAGGGCCTGCATCTGGGAAAGCAAATGGCAATCGCTTGGCTGAGCCCAGACGATGGAAGGAGATGCAGGCGATCTCACAGGGACAGCTCTTCTTGCGATAACCTTGCCTCCTGGGATATTACCCAGGAAATCCAGGGTCTGCATGCTCGGTGTGAAACGTTGATCTATTCCGGGAAGGGTGGACGCCGAGCCCGGAAGCCTGCCCCGCGAACAACAAACTCTGAACGCTAGATGGGCTTGTTGGAGTCAGGCTACCAAAGAAATTCTCCCAAATCCTGGACCCTCCAAGCCTCAATGACTCAATTTTAAGCCCTTAAACCCCCCTAAAAAGACCCGCCAACGAGTGCTCGCTCAGGCGGGCAGCGTCGCTATGCGGGACTCGAGGCTTTCGAGTCTGCCAGGGCTCACCATGGGGTTCAGGGTGTGGGGCTTAAGGTTTGCTGTTCAAGGTTTAGGCCCCTATCCTCGCACCCAGACGCTTTTCTAAACCAAAAGTTGCTTCGCGGCTCGAGGTTCTACTTTGCACTAGTTCTCTAAGTTCCAGGCAACTGCCCCTCGACATGAATGTTGACGCAGGAAAGTCGAGCACGTGCAAGGGGCGCGGGCGCAACAGATTCTCGGCAAATCGCATCAACCTGACACCTTGAGCCGTCGGCTCGGGGCGAAGGGTTTGGGAGTTTAGGGATGACGGCTCATGGGCTTCGGGGCTTTGAGGGCATCGGGGTCCACGAGCCTTGAGCACTTCGTCCATGACGTCGGACACGTGCGCCTCGGATCTGCTGCTCTCGCATAGGGTTTGGGGTTTATGGGCTTCGGGTCTGCCATAAAGCTTCGGCCCCCCATGAATCCCCAAACTCGCAACATCCCCTGCAAACCCAACTGCCCAACTGACCAGTCCACTAAACTGATGGCAGCCCAAACACCTGAGGGCCCTAAGCCCTGAACCCCAAAATCTGAACCGTGAACCCTTTAAACCCTAAACCCTGATCCCTAAAACCCTAGCGTCAGCGCAGCTAAGCCAGGAGACGGTCACAAATGTCTGAAGACACCCCCCCCCCTAACAGGAGTCTCCAAGATTCCTCATCCCTATGCCTGCGACAGCAAAAGCACGCCACAGGGGAAAGGACGTGAAAAAGAGAACGCCGCATCAGCTCTTGCACTCTACAAGGGCTTTAGGCACTTTAGGGAGTTTGGGGGGGGATAAATGGAATCACGGAGCCAGCTTTCAGCCGCTCCATGCCTCGAAACGCATCGGCACGGAGGCGAATGCCAGGTCTTGGGTGGATGGGCCGTGCGTGTTCAGGTGCTTGAGCACTAGAAGCGCGAATGGCAGAGCGCAACGCCTGTTGGTATATATAATTTGCGGGCCCTAAGCTTCCGGGGAGCCCTGGGCTACTGCCAACAAACAGAAACACGGCTGCGGCCAGGGGCGCGTGGCAATGCACAGAAGCTCCGAAACACCGAAGCTCCTAAGCCCCAAACCCTAAACCCTAAACCCGAAACCTCCAAGCACTCCAAAATCCGGAGCTTTCAGGCTGAACTCGAGATCTTCGACTCAAGGCCTTACAACCCTAGAGCCCCAAAGCACCCTAATACTCCAAAGTTCACCCTTTTTTCGTTGGCACTGCGGGGAGTGCCAAAGTGCTTTTGCTAAGGACCTCTCTGACTTCGAGTGATCGAGGGGTCCAGGGTTGCTGGGGTTTGGAGTTTTCTAGGATTTTGGGTGATTGACGAGGCGGAAGCGTGCCACTCGTGTTGGCTTGCTTCTCTAGAATCCTGATCCAGCTTCTTTCACTCGACACTGCTGAACTTCTTGTCGACCCAACTCTACAAGCAAACCACGTCCCTGCTTTACTGGGAGACATGCTCAACACGTTCGCTTGTGGAACAACGCCACGAATGTAGAGCATCCACTGTGACTCTGTGCGCGGCATCTTGGGGTGGGGCTTGAAAACAGTGAATCGTTTAGCTGTGTCGGCCCTCGCTGCAGAGTGAAGCCAGGACCAGTGGTCTTCCTGGACAATGCCGCAGCCTGCACTACGTGCATGGGGAAGCGGCCCTATGCCAGGACTGTACAGAGTGTGCCGTTGGTAAAGTTGCGACCCGCCATCCGGTGTCATCTCACGCATTCAACGCATTCGTGGTGATGTGTACGTTGGAGACTTGCGCCTTCCATGCATGCAGGGACTGGGCATGACTTTGCCATCGGGATCTGGTTGACATTGCTGTTGTATGGGGAAAGCCTACAACTCGCGAGGTGCTCTCCCCAATGGTTCAGACCTCTCCTTCACATGCCCGCCAAAAGAGACTGGTCTTTGGAGATCAACTCCCCAAGGAGTGCAAGCAACTGCAATGGACGGGCGATACCCAAAGCCCTTTCCAGCCTTGTTGCCGGAGCAGTACGATGGTGCCTGAATGACTGCGACACTTGGTGCAGGCTACGCACGCCAAAGCTGCGGCAAGGAGAACATCCGAATGTCAGGAAACTTTGTGTTCTCAAATCCGCTGCTCTGAAAGAGGCGCACTTGCTGCGACAGACACTGTGCTTTTGGCTCGACATGTTTGTCTACGCTCGGTGCAAGCGAGATTCTCCCTAGCGACTTAGTGGAAAAGGTACCCAACTACTGTGCGGGTCTGAGCAGCACTGCCTGGCAGGAGGCACCATCCAGCCACGTCATGTCCGAGCCTCGGATTCAGCAACCTATCAATGCCCCTCTACACTCTCCACAGGGGATTCTGCTTGACATCACATCAAGATTGTCAGCCTGTCAGATAAGATGCTTTCCCAGTAGTCGAAGACCAAGACCATTCCGCTGGAGAGCTGCGGCCACATGCCTTGGGCTTGACAAGCGAGCGCACGAGCCCTGAGCGTGTCTCTCGCAGGATACGTCGCAGCGAAAGTTTGCTCAATTGGTCCCCGTGTCAGTCTCCGTCTCACAGACACTGGGCATGCTCGAACCTCGGCCAAACGCCAGCCGAGGTTCTGCTCAGAGCGCTGTTGGCCATGGTGTTGCTGATCACCTTCTCCCCCTGCAGCAGCATTGTGCAAAGCTTGCCGTCAACGCCGAGACCCAGACGACCAAGTATCATTCCCATGTTACTCTTATGGCAAGCCAAAGTCCATATCGCCGACTTTGGAGGTTCCTTGAAGGCTCCGTAGGGTTTTGGGACTGGCAAAGAGGGCCTGCTGGACCGTCACAAGGACGCTCTCCGAGTCGGTCTCTCGAAATTGGACCTTGGCTCAGGCGTTGGTGGCAGTGAAAAACAATCCGATCTCCGCACACAGACGGGCTTCGGCTCGAAGCGTTGGGTCGAGAGTGCAAAGGGAGGTTGGGGATACAGTGGGCTATGGGCTGCATGATGATGCTAAACACCCTTGGCCTCAAACGCTGGCCAGGCCTCAAAGGGGGGGACTGTTGAAGTAGACTGTAGGCGACGCCCAAGGCACGGAATAGTTGAAGGGGTGCTCGGTGTCGATGGTGTTCGCGTTGCCCGGACCGAACAATGCCGGCGAGAATCTTGGGGGTGGTGTGAGGATGTGTGAGGATAGAAAGGGAACTGACACAATTAGACCCCCGCAATCTGAAGGGTCATCTGAAGCAAGCACTGCTAATTTTGCGGGCAGGATGGGCAACTTCAAGGAAAATATCACGAAACCTCAGATGCGGGACCTCATCGGCCTGTTGATAATAGGGGGAGGGGACTACTGGCAGCTGGCTCGATACCCAAAAGCCTCCACCCAAGCAAACCTTGCCAGCTCAGAGGCTTCATGACGGGGCTTCCATTGCCGTCGCAGGTCTCGTGTGAAGCCGGGTCGCCACAGAGGTGGTTCGTGACCTCCAGGGCTTGGGGTTTAAAACCGTCAAGGGCTTTAGCAGCCAGGTTCGTTGCAATCCTCGCGTAATTGCGATTCAATCCTTCCGCAAGCTGACGGTGCCTTCCTTGACCCGGTTTGGTTCAACGCACGACCGCGCTCAAAGATTCTTGACGGTTGCCTCAACCGAAGCAGAAGGCAGCAGCAAACGCTCTAAACTCCCTCTTTTGGCTAGGCATGGAACTGAGAAGCTTTGTACCACCAGGGCCTGTAGCGCGTGAGTGTTCATCTCGTTCAGGTCAAACTCCTGGCTTGCTGGGTCTCTCCACGGACGTTCGCCCGGGCTTAGACTTCAAGCAGGGTTGGGGCTTGAGGTTTAGGTTTGGGAACCCTAAACCTGACATCCTAAACCCTAAACCCCACACACTCTCAGCTTAGGCTCGTTGCAGCAGTTGCCACCCACACAGTTGGCATCGCAGTAGCAGTCCCCAAACTCACCTCAGGGTTCAGGGTTTTAAGGGGGTTACGGCTTACGGTTGAGGAGGTGGTGATTACCTCCCCTTAGTAAGAAACCTGCCCACATACTATCACATCACAAAATGACGACTACGAGGGTGAGGAGGATCCCAAACATCCGGAGGGACGGGACGAAAGTTCTAAGAAGCCTCATCCTGCTCCTCTCGCAGACAAGGCTCCAGGTGAAGATGCCGGCATGGCCACCAAGAAAAAGTTGACCTCAGCTACGGCTGTCACGAAACGGAGATCACGCAGCTGATGCACGAGCAACACTGCAACACTCCCTTCCCCTGCAAATCTCATGAAGAGGCCTCGATTAGGGCAATGAATAGCGCGCCTTTTAGTATATTTAAAATGGGCCCCTTTCACTCTTTATAAAGCCAATGTAAAAATCATTACGGCGCGCGTGAGCTTGCCCGTAATTTAATATTGGATTTCTAAAGATTGAAACCTTCATGAACGACTCTGGGGGAAAAACGCCCATTAAAACATATTAAATTCATGCGTGCCTTAGAATTTGATATATTTTAATAGGGTTTTCGTGAAGTCGCGAGTGAAGGGTGAAAGGGGGACGGCTGCACGGGAAAGTACTGTGTTCCTTCGTTCGTCCAGTTGTTCCGTGCGTTCGTTCCTCTCTTTCGCTCCCTTAATAATAAGATTAACAGGCCAATTTCGGGGGCGTTTTTAGTGGGCGTATGGTTCACTTCGTTCATCTAATTCGCCCATCAAAAACACTCCCAAAATATTATGTTCTGGGGCGTTCACTTCGTTCACTTGAAACGCAAATTAACGAAGGAGTGAAGGGAGTGAGTGATCCATTGAACGAAGACATGAACGCGAGAACACGGCCAAGAAACTGAGGTGCATGAGGCTGATTAATAAAGGTGCCAGTGAAAAGGTCTTATGGTTGTATTAGCTGTACTGCAAAGGGCAGCAACAAGGGTCCTAGAAAGTCTGACAACGCCAAGACTGGTCAAGCAGCATTGCAGCCGCAGCCGGCCCCGTTCCTTTGCTGACTTGGGGCCAGTTGCTTCAATGTCCGAAGAATTGTTCTGGGCTTGCCTTTAGAGGCGGTGGGGAGGGCGGGGGAGGGAGGGGGATGTCGAGAGCCCCAAGGCCCCAAGACATAGAAAAGGCTGACGCTGGACAAAGGGCAGGTAGACGGTCGCCGAGAAGGTCTTTCCAGCAAGCTGCAGCATCTCGAAGTTTCCAGCCGTGCAAGAATCCGCGGTGTCGTACTTCCTGAGATCTACATGAGTACCCATTGAAGCACATGCGAAAGTTTGGCACCTGGTAAGGGCAATGAAGGTGAGAGCTTTTTCAGCTCCCTGAAATTAAGAAAAGCCCGGGCGGCATCAGGAAGTACTTGTCGTTGATGCCGTACTCCAACGTCCGCTGGTCAGTGATGCTTGCTCCAGGCAGGAAGTAGGTGTTCCAGACTCCATCCTGGGGGTTGCCATGGATTTCTCTGCCTTGTGGGTCTTGCTTTGATCTTGCTTGTGTTTCACGGAAGCAAGCTGAAGACGGGTATGGGCTGCACCTTTCAGACGGGGTTGGGGAAGTTGCGCATCTTGCACCGTGCACCATTTACCAAACAGTGCCCGCGGTCCTCGTTGATTTGGAAGGCCGATGAACTCTGGCTGGTCTGCAATGCCTCGACACACAAACACAAACTCTTGAATTCATCTGCGTGCAGCAAAGGGGGAGCTGCTGTGGCAGCTTTGAGGTCAAGCTTCGGCGAGGCCCTTCTTGAACGCAGTGTGGCCGCGGCGGGTCCTGTTGACCTGCAATCATGTCGGCAGAGCGTGGAGCAAATCAGTCGATGACCAAGGCGGCACCCAAAGCATGTCGCACACCTTGCACCTACCACCTCCTACCACCTACCGGGAGGAGCTGGACAAAGGCACAAAGCACCAGAGAGAGGAAGCACGGCAGGCCTTTGCAGTGGAAAGTACCGACTGCGGCGCCTTGGTAGGCCATCTGCAGCCGACTTGGAGTTTCACCCATGTGCTAACAAAGACTGGTGGCCTCAGGGCCTCGAGGCCCCTCGGGCCCAACCAAAAAAGGAATACAGAGCTTTCGGACACTATCAGTCTCTCACTCAGGGGTCGATGATTGATTATTGTTGTGAACTTACTACGAGTAGACTACCTGCGGGAGATTGAGATACCAGTGGTCAGCCTTTCTATCTTTACAGAGATCCTAAGAACTTCGCACAGCTCGGCCCTCGCTGCATGTCACAGGAACCTAGTCGATGGGGTTTTGAATTCAGGGCTGAAGAACAAGGCCTTCTGATGCCCCAAGCAGCAACGCGCTGTCTGTGCCCCTGCAGCATGGCTGCATTCTCGCCACCTTTGAAGGCCGAAGGAATGCGTTGGTCCATGGTTCTCTGGGCGCTCTCGCATCTGCACGGTCTAAACGACTCCCAGAAAGCATTGAAGGCGTAGGACAACGTTCAAGCTGCCGTCGCAGGCGTCTCCGCTGATGCAGCTCGCGCCCGCAGCATGCAGGGCAGCGGCGAGGACGCAGGCGACGGCCCTGAGAGCGTACATCCCTTGGGCCTGAAAAAGGCACCTCAAAGCCTTCCCCCTCCCAAGACGCGCGCGTTGCACGAAATCTCACCCTTTCAGTCCCAGCGTCCACACCATGTTCTGCCTTTTCGGCTTTTCTGCCTCTCCCTTTGGTGTGAAGGCGGCACGACCTCTGCCCAAACGGCTGCGGCCAGGGCCTGCATCTGGGAAAGCTAATGGCAATCACTTGGCTGAGCCCAGACGATGGAAGGAGATGCAGGCGATCACTAGGCGATCAAATAGAGACAGCTCTTCTTGCAATAACCTTGCCTCCTGGGATATTACCCAGGAAATCCAGGGTCTGCATGCTCGGTGTGAAACGTTTGCCCAGAAGACTGCCCTGCGAACCCTAAACTCGGAACGTTAGATGGGTGGAGTCCAGATGTATAATCTCACGATGTAAGCTACCAAAGAAAGGCGCCCAAATCCTGGAACCCTTCCAAGCCTCAATGACTCAATGCAAATGCCTGATATTCCCCCTGAAAGGACCCCGCAGCTCAGGCTGGCAGCGTCGCTATGCGGGACTCGAGGCTTTCGAGGTGGGTCTGCCAGAGCTAACCCATGGGGTTTAGGGTGCGGGGCATAAGGTTTGATGCTGTGTAGTTTTAGGGCTGGCGGGTTTTACCCCTCATCCCCGCACGCAGAGGGCTGTCAAGACCCTTAAACCAGATTCTCGGCACATTGCATCAACCTGACACATTGATAAGCTGGCTCGGGGCTAAGGGTTTGGGGGTTTAGGGATGTTGAGGGTGCATGGGGTCTGACGGTTCGTGGGCTTCGGGGCTTCTAGGGCATCGGGGTCCACGAGCCTTGAGCACTTCGTCCATGACGTCGGACACTTGCGCCTCGGATCTGCTGCTCAGACATACGGTTTGGGGTTTAGGGGCTTCGGGTCTGCCTTAAAAACTAAATCCTGATGCCTAAACCCTCAACCCTTATCCCTAAACCCTAAATCCTGATCCCTAAACCCTATAAACCCTAAACCCTAAATCCTGAACCCTAAACCCTAAACCCTAAGTCATTCCTCCCATTTCAGCGGCCTCTGCAGCACTTTGCGGGACCCGCCGTCCGTCGGCCGCCTCCTCGAGGGCCTGAGAAGGCGACTGGTAGGGCTTATAAGGTTTAGGGGGGGCTCAGGGGGGAACTGGGTGGGTTCACGTGTGAGCGTGGGAAGAGCGTGACAGGGATAATACTATGTGATCAGTGGTTAAGGTTTCATGGAGAGAACTACCGCGGTTGTACTTCGTTCTCTCATTCATTTCGTACACTTGTAATATAATTCACGCGTGTACTCATTCATTACGTTCTCTTCGTAGTTGTATTCATATGCACGCCAAATAGTAAGTCTTTTTATGAGGCGTGCGTGTTACGTTCATAATATTATTGTAATTCACGCGTCTTTCATGCTTCATTCCTTGTAATTACAATACTATTATTCTCTTCACCTTTACCTTTCCATCCCGGGCTGTTGGCAGTCAAGTGAGCACTCATGATAAGGTGAATCCAGAATAATAGAGTGTCCTAAAGGTAAAGCTAATATTAGTATTATTGTAATGAGTGCGTAAATTACAAATGAAATGAACGAAGTGAATGTAATGCGTGAATTTATGCACGTTACGTTCATTATATTATTACGAAGAGAGTTATAGTTCGTGCATATTATAATGAAGTGAGTGTACGAACGAAGCATGAATACGTACGAAATATAAGGAACGAAGGACAGGATTCTAATACTAAATGGTCATATTACGGGCTCTTGGCACATGAATCCAACCTCTAGGAGTTAACATGTTCATGAGCTAGCTTCAGAATCTTGGAGTCCATTATTAACTGAGTTCTCTCGCTACATCTGGTTCCTGTTGGCAGTTAAGGTGTGTTCGTAAGCCCGGGCAAGACTGACAGGTTGTAGGGTGGTTCAGGCCTAGGGGGTTTGAGGGGGTTTGGGGTGTTTTGAGGCTTTGGGTTTTGGGTGCATAAGGGGTTTCGAGAGTTTGGGGCGTTCTCAGGGCGTTTCGGGGCTTTATGGGGCCAGGGCTTCGGGTGTAGGGTCCATGCAGGGATTGGCTTTTTGTAAAGTAGAATGCTTCATATGGGGTGCCTATGATGCAGACTCGGCGTGTTGGGCAGTCCTGTCCTACGTGATTTGGGGTTAACGTTGGGCCGCGGAGGGGGCAGCACACCTTACAAGCTTCACAGGTGAACACAGAAGATGTCCTAACCCTGACGAGTATGAAACCTCCCTGAACCCCAAACCCGGAACCCTCAATCCTGAACTTAAAGCCTTTTGCTTAAAAGAATGAAAGCTTTGCAAATACGAAAAAAAGACTCATAACTCAGCGCCGGAGTCTGGGTTCCTCACATCCTCAGCCTCCTGGTCGGCCGCCTCCTCGAGGGCCTCCACCAGTGCGAAGCTGTTTTAAAGGCTGCTTTAGGGGAAGGGGGAAGGGGGAGTTATCCTCAACCCGAAGTCCCGGGAGTCTGGGGTTTAGGGACTTAGGGAGCTCAGGGAGCTCAGGGAGTTGAGGGAGCTTAGGGAGTTGGGGGGGGGGGCTGGATGAGCTCATGCTGAGGGAGCTTAAGGGGGTTCACGTGTGCTTCAAATCCACGCTGCACCCCTAAACTCTGGCTGCTCTAGGTACGGGGACGGACCTCCGAGCGCAGGAACTCTTGCAGCTGCGGCACCTGCGGCTTCGGTGCCAGGATTTGGGAGAGTCCAAGTTTTCGGGGTTTAGTCTGGTTTAGGGTTTAGGGCTGAGGGTGTTTAAGGGTTTAGGGCTGAGGGTGGTGTGGGGTTTAGGGCTGCGGGTGGTTAAGCGCTTAGGGCTTATCGTGGTTCAGGGTTTGGAAGTTTCGGACTTAGGATTTAAGTGCTAGGGGTTCTTGGTTCGGGGCCCAAAAAAACAAAACAAAAAGAAACGACAGCCAAAGCAAAGCAAAAGTACCCTCAACCCTCGTGGCCATGGGCGCACCTCAAGCGGATTCAGCTCGAAGTTGGTGTGGAGAGGCGCAAGGCGCGGAATCTGAGAGTCCGGGCCGGGGTACATGCCGAGAGATGATGCTCAGATCAATCCGAACTGTTGAGTCTCTAGAGTGTTGCCGTGCAGCGTCCCAAACGGGTGTTGGGCAGACTGCGGAATTCTTGAGTGGTGTGCGCTTCTCTGGAAACTTTCAACAGAGAAAAGATCCACTCGACAGAGGTCCTACTGCTCTTTCTGCTCCTTCTGTTTTTTCTGGCCAACTCAGTTACGCACCGTGCTTGTAGGCATAAGCCCTTGTCTGCCCTAGCTTCACCCTATCACACTACTCCCCGCCCCCCCCCCCCCCCCCCCCCCCCCCCCGGCCCCCCGCCCCGAAATGTTGCAAGCTGCCCTTGCCGGCTCCGAGCCTGGGAGGTGGCTCTGCTTGGCACCTCGCAGACAACCACATCCTGGCAACGCATAGTTAGCAGGGTTCCAGGCTTAAGGCCCGGAATACACGGGAACGGAGCAGTTTAGGTGGGGCGAAAAGGGCTTTAGGCTGACCCACAAGAACAACAGAGCCCAACAGGCCAAGAAGCCCTACAAATGGTCTTCCCCATGAATACCCCCCTTTTCTGCACCGAAGAACCCTGGCCAGCCTTGGTCTGCTGGTACATGAACTGAAACATCTTGAAGTGCCGCAGGAAGGTCCTCCCCAACTCCCGAGTCGAGGATTACGGGAAACTTGGGGGCGTTGTAGTCATATGACATGTTGATCTTCTTGGCCAAGCTACCATAATATGGACACGTTGCGGACCCACGCAGATATACATACATGCATTCATTTCATTTCATTTCATTTCATGTCATTTCATTTCATTGCGTTTCGTTTCGTTTCGTTTCGTTTCCTTTAAATTCCCTTCCTTTCCATTCCATTCCATTCATTCCATTCATACACACATACATACATATAGCCGCACTGTACATAGTATGGTTTCCTGATGTTTCTTTGGCAACTTGGAAGTGGCAACCCAATCTTGGGGTGCGGGTCCTAGCGGCAGCAACTCAGAAGATCAGGTCCAATCCCGGAAGTCACGCCCCTTTCTCCGAACCCAAGGGCCAACGCCCAACCCTGCCGATTGCGTCCTTGTTGCGTAGGCCCGAATCTGAGAGCAGCACCCGATCCCGGGTGCAATTCCGACAACTCATGCTGTTTATTCAGCTACGATGCAAACGCTCTCAACACTCGTCATGATTTTCATACCGCGGCCCCCGGCCAAAGCCACCTCTGCTGCTGAGAAGATGCCGACGCCTCGGCACGCAGCGCAAATCGGCAGAACCCTGATGCTGGTCCTGCTGGTCCTCTCCGTCCCTCTTGAGGAAGCGACTAAACGGCGGCAGCTGACGGCTATGCCTCGCGGAGAGACCGCCCCCCACCCCAAAGTGGCTTTTCGAGATGCTAGCCAAGAAACCTTGAAAAGAGGCGCTATTGGAACCCCCCACAATTCGTGGCGCCTCGCCAGGAGGTCTTCCAGCAAGGACTTTGCCTAAGGTCAAAGCGCGGAGAGATGGAAAGCTGCAAGTTGCTTGGAGCAACCTGGAGTTCCTGAGTTCCTCAGAGTTCCGGCCTCGTCAAGGTCGGCCGTTTTATCGATGACCTTGGCTTCGACCCACAGAAAAAAGTCTCTGCGATTCTCGACTCAACAACTCAGCGACAGCCGCTGCCCACTCCGTGCACTGAAGCTGCTTCCGACATCCTCCTACCACATCGAACTGGCTGCTGCACCTCTGCACAAAATGGAGACAGCTCTTTGCTGCCAAGAGCATCAAAGCCTTCCCTGAAGTATTCTACCTTCGGTCCAAGCACCTTTCCTCCGCCATTCTGCACGCTGTTCGTCACTGGAACAATACATGGCGAAGGGAGTCACACCGCCCTGATCAACAGCTCTCCAAGAAGAGACATCCCATAGGCTGCACCTTTACGCGAATCATGCTCTCGTTGTTACGCACTGGTTCCTGGCGGCTCTTGTTCAGAAGCGTGATGGCAACAAGTTAATGGGAGGCCAGAAGAACCACCGCAGCGAAAGACGAGGGCGGAGCTGTCTGCGCATGGAGGATGCGCATCATCGAGAGAAGAGCCGACGCCTCAAAAACAGGGAAAGCAGGAGATTCGTTTTGTTGCCTTTGCCTCCCTGAATGGCTCCGACAAACTTCCTCAATCCCAGAAGCCGGGCGTGCAGGTGACTTAATCAAGGTCGAGAGAACTGGGGGTCCAGATCCGCCAAGTCCCGTCTGGTTCCTATGGCACTATGGCCGGCCCCATGGCGACAAGTGCTTCACCACCCAAAACCCAAGCACTCAACATCACAAACTTCACATCACGGAACCCCTTGCTGCTTCCTTGCAGGTTTTCGCTCCGAGTGGGAGCGTCGACGTGCCTTCTCAGGCCCATAGCCCTGCTTCTGGCAGAACCTCAAGGCTTTGGGGTTATAGGGGCTAGGGATGCTTTGCAGCTTTGCGGAGTCTCCTGAAGTCCACACCGGCAAAATACTCTTGGGATGGCTAGACATATTGTCGGGAGGCTGAAATTGCTGCGCGCGCGCGGGCTGGATAAGGTCGTCATCTCTCCCTCAAGTGCTCAAGCCCTCTTTGCACGTGTCCCAGTCAGACATCAGGACCCCGGCATAAAGTTCTGGAAATGGTACTCGGCCAGCACTTCCGCCCGAAAGCCATCCTGGCTGGAGGGATGCTGGTGATTCCTCCCGCCACAGAGGCTTCCAGAGCCTCCCCAAGTCCATCCCGTCTCCACCTTGGCCTTGAGTTTCATCAAGGTGTACAAGCACTCCACGATCTCGTCCCTCGAGACGCAGGCCTCCAAGCTTTGAAAAGGTGGCTCCTCTATGCGCGGGCGCTGTCATGTGCTGGCCGCTTGCCGACATAGAAGTGGAAGGATTGAGGCTTGGAGGGGCTCTGGAGGGTGGAGGGGTCGAGAGGTGAACTTCTGACTTGCCCTAAACAGGTGCTTAGAGTGGCCTGAGGCGCAGCCTATCCACCTCAGCATGCATGTTTGACCAGCAGACCATCACAGACCAACATGGCCTGTAGCTTGAGAATGTCAGACCGTGGGACGTCGGTGAAGGCAACCGCTTGGGTGCGCAACTGCCAGTGAAATTTCACAGAACAGAGCTTGAAGTCATGGGGCTACCTCTCAACTGCTGGATCATGCTGGATCCACTAGCATGCAGTCAGGGCTTGAGACTTTCCGCCGGACATACCTCTGAAAGATCGCGCCTCTAAATCGTTGAGGATCCGCGCGGCATTGTCGATCTCCGAGCGTTCGAGACCCGCCTGCAAAGCAACCCCTGAGAAGGTTCATAGGCAAAGGGCGACCACGTGCTCGACAGCCTGAGGCGTACGCCACGGCGTAACGCAGTTAACACGAACAGCACCAAACCACAAAACAAAAGTTGAAACAACCCCAACAGAAGCCCCAAAAATCGGATCGGCACTTGGTGGGCACCTCCCGCCCTCGCTCAATGGCCATTCGCAGAGGCTCCATGTCCTCGCGGACGAGGCAAGAGCTAGAGGCCCAAGCACAAACGAGGCCTCCATGCTCAAAGGCTCTGTCTGGATTCGACAGCACAACAAGGCCCCAGGAATCATAACCAGGCACCTCCCAGGCACTTCGGCAAGAGCACCCTACCTCCAAACCGATAGCGGCCGATACACCGCAACCAAAATCCACCAAACAAACCGGCCCAGCATCCCAAAGGCGCCTCGCAGCTGCGAGCAACCATGGCGGCCTTCGAGCAAGAGCAGCTGTGGGCGACTGATGCCGCTGTTAGCAGCCATATACCACACATACTACACACACTACACCACTGGTTTTGCAGTGCATAGTAGTTAGGGCGGACTTCACGAGCCACCCCTGAAGCCCAGACCCGACTTCCAGCCTTGAGCTCTCGCATCTTGAGATCCTTCATGCTCACCTGCAGGACACTTTGCGAAAGCGGCGAAAGCAGCGGAAGCAACTAGCTTGCGACAGTGGGGCTGAAATGTGGGGATGGGTTTCTGAAGGGCTCGCTGATGGAAGCTCAGTATTCTGTCTCCTGAAGCTGCAATGCTGAAGCAAAATCAAGCAATGTAGTGAACAAAAGCTGTTGCCTTGATGGTGGCGACCTCTGTGATCTCCTCGTCCGACATGCTGAACCACAACGGGACGCTCGCAAGCTGCTTTTTCAAACTCTTGAGATCGCCTAAGCAGGCTGGAGTGAGGGGCTGGACTCGGGCGTCTTCAAAGCTGCGTTCACGTTACGGAAGAACACGCTATGTGGCCGTTCGCCCGCCTCGGGTTGGGTTACGGTATGGAAGTCATGTCTCTGTGGAAAGAAGCAACAAAGAGCCGAAATCGCAGTGCACAAGATGAGGCCAGGCTCAATGGCCCACCATCCAAGCCCTTAAAGTCCAAGCTCTCGGTGAACAGTGGTAAACACAAATTTGTGCCGAATTTTCCATCTCGCAGAGGTCTTTGGTCTGCAAAGACAGAGCAGGAGACCCCCTACACGCCAGCGTCACAGCGGGACAGACGGTATCTCTCCTGAGAAGCCCATTCAAACAGGGTTGCCTGAATCCTTTGAAGAACTTGAACCAACGTACAACCACCCTGCAGGACCTTGTGATCTCCTGCAGTCTGATGACCACATTAGCAAAGCGGATACGAGGGAGCCTGGCACGCCGAGATTGTAGGTGTGGTTTGTCGAGCTTAACAGATGGAACTCCACACATCTGCCAGAGTCGGCCCGAGGCCCCTCGTATCCGAACATTAACTGGGAAATGGGAGCTCTCTCACGGAGTTCTCGCTCACCTCAGCTCTGCTTCACTAAAGGACCACGTAACACCGAATCCTGCATCACCACCAGCCAACAGGACTCAGCTATTTGGCAAGAGAGAGAGAGAGAGAGAGAGCACGAGCGAGAGACAGAGATAGAGAGAGAGAGAGATAGAGAGAGAGAGAGCGACACGCGGGGAAGACTGGCACGCAACACAACGACCTGGAGCGCGATGTCTTTCAATATCCTTTCAGAGTCTTTCAATAGGATCTGGAGCAGCTCAGCACAAGCTAAGGGCTCTGCCAACCCTTCCAGGTCTCTGGCTGCTAGCCGTCCTGCCATGATCAAGAAACTGTCTGGCTTCGGATTCTTTGGGGCGCCCTGTTCAGATGATGGGCAGCCTTGTGAGGCTGCAGTGCAGCCACCCCCAGTATCACCCCGGCAGAGATGGAAGCCTAGCCACCCCCTCCACAAAATTGACTGGGAAGACCCCTCTGATACACCCCAAACTCGAAGCTTCAAACGGTGGAGCCTGACAAAGCGCTTCAATCTCATCGAAGAGCTGGTCCATCCACTCTTGCCTACCATGTGGAATGTGGGAGCATGAGTGTCCTGTTCGGGTCTCCACTATGGCATCCTCCTTCTGATATTGCGGGACCAAAGCGGCTCTAGGGGTTTTGCAGCACCTGGGGATGCCTAAGGCCGCCGTGCTTTGCACAAGGGCTCCTTGCGCGAGGAGTTTGTGCCGAATTCCCCCCTCTGCCTCTCGGTGACGTGGAGCCCGCCTTCAGATTCTCTGGCAGTGCGGGGCCCCCGACACAAAATTGCGCGGAATAGCCAGGAACATGCGACATCAACAGCTCAAAGCTCCAAGGATTGACACTCAGCTCTGGGCTGCCCAGCTTTGTGTAGAGGCACCTGGCATCGCTAAAAGGTCTCAATCACATGGGGACCAACTTGCTCTCCCCGAACATCCCCCCCTCTCCCTCTCCCTCTCCGCTCATGTGCTGTGGCATGGTGGGCAGCCGCGCTTCTTCGACTGCATGTCCACGACTTCAAAGGAGGCAGGACCTCCAACAAGTCTGCATCTTGCCCAAATAAGTTGCAGCACTTATGCAAGGCCATGGGCAAGTTTCTTTCCAGCGTACGGAACGCGCGCTGAAAATACATGACTCCATACAAGACCGCGGCACAGCCATAACATGACATCCACAGAGCGGCCCTCGCGAGTCGCTGGCCCTAAATTCTGTAAAGCCCTGAAAGCCCCAAACCGTGAACCAAGACCTAACCGAAGGCCCCAAACCCTTCTCAGCCCAAGCCTGAGCATCCCCCAACATCCCTGAGCTCCCCCGCAAAGCAAAACACCGAAACACAATCTAAATATGAACCCACCTACCCCTCAAAAGAGAATAAAGAAGAACAACAGACAAGGTAAAGTTAAGTCTCATTTGGAATACTTCTCGACTACTGAAAAATTGCGAGTTTGATGTATGGATTCTAGATTAAAAGTTCAAGACTCCCGGGCATCTTTTCTTGGCCGTGCCGCCGCTCGCTGCAGCATCCACGTCAAGTCCCACATCGCCCGTGAGGAGATGTGCTGCGATGTTCGGATGATAGGCTCGATAGGCTGATGCGTCAAACTGAATGAAGAGCTGTGGTGCAAGGTCTCATCCGGTCAGCAGTAGCTGCACTGACAAGCACGTTTAGCTGCCAACTGCGGACTTTGGCAGGCCAGCCCCAGGCAGATGGATGAAGACCACTGAGGGTCTGACAAACTGTCCTGGATGCAGCTACGGGGCGTCTTGCGACTTCATGCGCATCAACTCTGTGCGGGTCTGGACGGGCAGCTAAAACGAAAACTCACGGACTCTGGTGCGCTGATAGGAAAGTTCCTGTTCGTTGCCTCTTCTGAGGGTATCCGCTCAAGAATGTGGCCACATACGCCAAGACCTGAGACAGCTCCAACCGTGGGCTCACCCGGCGAAAGTCTCGAGGTTTGAGTTTGCACGGGTTGAGGCTGGTTACTCCGCAGCTCCGGAAAACGAGGAGGCACCAAACTGGCGCGGCAAAGCTACCATCGCCGCTACCGCCGCTGGTGCTCCACCAAAAAAAGCCGGCCGCCCGGAAGGCAACGTTCCCGACATTGTGGTGTGCACACCACAACGTCACAGGAATCCAACGCTCCGTTCTTCAAGCCCCTGGTCTGCAGCTTCTCGTGCAGCTTCGGTGCGTTCGGGCTTTTCCCTCTCCAATCGTCAACCCGCAAGCACGCCTAGCGACGTCTGAAAAACCCAGACACCGAAGTTCGGTGCACGACGAGAGTGGCTCAGCTTTGAGCCTTCTGCGGAAAGACTTGCTTGCACTGCTAATGCAAGGGCTTGCCAAAGGCTGACCTACACGTTGCTGTCCTGTACTCCAGAACTCTCTGCGACGCACGAGCGCTGGGCATTAGGGGTGTGCTCGCCCTCTCTTTGCACAGAGCCTCGTGATGGCGACCTGTGCGGGAAGAGCCCTCGTCTGGACAGACTCTTGAAGCCTAAGCTCTACTCGAGCAGTTCTTCAGAACCTTTATCCAGGCTTCCTACACTCTAAGCTGTACGATTCTGATTATTCAGAAACAGCCGCATCGTCTGATTTCCGAGGGCATGAGGAGTTGCCGCACCTAGGACTTCACAGTACTCGAAGACGAGCAGCTGCATGTCAGGGATTTGGAAGTGTTGGGTTTCAGCGGTTCATGTTGATTGTGTGGCCTTTATTGATGGGCTGAGGCCGTGGGGTTCTAGACACAGCTTCGCCTGCAAGCTACAGGGGAACTCTCTGGCCAAACCCGATGCGTTTCCTGTGTCGAGATACACATCTCCTAGCCTTCCCCTAGCAGCTCTAGCAGCTACAAACGGAGGCCCTTCTGCATTCTTCTGCCCGTGTGAGAGTTGTTGCACATTGGAAGCCCTCACGTCGGACCCAGAGCATACCTCGCAATGTGGACCCAAGAGCTTTGGTTGTGGGGCCCCTATCGACTTCAAGTCCTTTGATCGCTACACGCCGCTACGCCTTAGAACCCATGTGAGCAACGGTGCGCGAAGCCAACACGGCCAAGGTCGCAGGCAGGATGCCTTACCGAAAGGGGGCCCGGAGTTCTCACAAACAGGTGGTGGAAACCACCAAAGAGCTGAGAATTTCATCGACACATCATTGCGGCCTGGCGAGCCGGGCAAGAACTGCGAGGAGTAGGGACTGCCGTTATGAGACCGCTGTATCCCCGCCTTCCCGTCTCATGTGCACACTGAAGCTTCAGCAAAGGGCGCCATGGAGCCGGGAACGTAGAGGTGGAACAGCTACGCGCTCCACGGAGCTGAAGACGCCGGGATTTGCATCTGGTGAGCACAAGTCTGCCTGAAAGACGAGGAGAGGAGGCTCTCACGAAGCGGGCACGAAGGCTCGCGCGTGAGCTCCAAGTTGCAAGCGAGCTTGACATGCTGTTAGTGCTGGGCTTGGCTCAAGTTCCAAGTTCCGGGCTGCCTTGGAAGCCACACAGGCTACACAGGCTACACACACCCTTACTCTTCCAGTTCCGAACCTTGGGTTTCTGTCTTTTTGGCGCCCTGGAGCGGCGACTACAAGTCCTGGAGCTTGGGTGCGAGGAGATGCGGCGATCGCTCCATGAGGAGCAGATCCTCGAACTCCTGCGCGGCTCTCCACCGGCTGGCACCCACGGCTCCCTCAGGCGCAGCTATCCCACGTGACAGGACTCCTACCGAAGAGGAAGAAAGACCGCCGAGATCCCAAGCAGAGGGAGTCTTTCACGCCCTTTCCGGCATTTGAGGGCTCACGACTTGAGGACTCACTTTAGGACTCGCTTGGGGCTCTTCAAGGCGCTGCGCCTGCAGCTTTTGAGGGCTAAGACTCCCAAGACCCTTTCAAGCAGACGAGGCAGCTGCCGAGCGCAGAGGTGCGACGCGTGAGCAGGCCCTTCCCCACAAGACAACACGGATAGATGTACAAACTCCCAGACATGATCCAGAAGAAGACTGAAGTGAAGGCCTCAAATCTGGAGAGCAGAGCTGGTGTTGAGAGGTGCGGACTGCACTGCAACACGGGCTTTGTTTTGCCCGCCCTGAAGCACGCTGCACACGTCATCCAGACAAAGGGCTCTCATAGACACCGGGACACATGCATCTGCCAACTGCCAAGCCATATGTCCTCCTTCACTCCAGGAAGTTCATTTAATAAATCGAACACTGCGTCTTTCCAGGATCCGCTGGGACTCGCCTGAACGCTTGACAAATGGTGCAAAACGGGGCCTGCAAAGCGATCTACTTTTGGACGCTCCCTGGGAACAGCTTTGCTTGGTCCTAGCACGAAGAAGTGGGTCCAGAAAAAAGCGCTGCCTCAGACCTTGCGTGGGCTGGCAGCAGTATATTCACAGGGTTGGCATAAGGCATTTCAAGTCGTCGTATTCAACAGCTTCGAGCTGGAGGAAAGAATGAATCCCTCCCCTCCCCCGGCCAGCTTAGCAAATCTAAACCCAAACGCGCAACATAGGGCCAAAGGTGGAAAGAGAGACGCCACGATGTTCTTGCCGTGCAGCATAGGTCGTGGCAGCGCCAACATCAGCGAGTCTCGGCCAGACGCTCAACGAGTTAGGACTTGAGAGCCAGAAATTGTGGAGTTTGGGGGGCGGTGCGGGGCACATCCGGCAGCTAGTAACGTGCAGTCTGCCCAAGTGCCTTGGGGGACCTGGCATGCAATGCATGCAACAACCTGAAATCTGCCGGAAGCATTCATGAGCCAACTGCGCTGCGCTTGTTGCTGCAATGCTGCCTGCCAACTTGCAGCGCCAATCTCCACATCTGCGCACACCAACCTAGTCACTTAGTCCAGATCACTTACAGCTTTCGTGACACCATGGTGCCAGCCGGCCCGAGCCGGAACTTGCGATTCAGCTCGCACGGCTCCATCAGCTGGGCACCTTTCTAGCTACGCGGTCAAAGGCGATACCTGCACTCCACAGTCCCTGACCTCGCACATGCAAGAATCATCCAAAGTGCCTGCGCGCGCCAGGCTTTCCCTCAACGGATGGAGAGAGAGTGCTGCTTTCGTAGTCAACCTCCTAAACCCTAAACCCTAAACCCCAAACCCTCTCTGATCCTGATGAAGAGTCAGTACACGCTGCTTCAGCAGCCTTGGGCTTCGGCTTGGATGGCTCGTTTCTAAGAAGCAGGTCATGCCGGCTGGGCGGCTCAGCTGTCACAGCTGTCATCTTGGACGGGGGATTCCCTCGTGCTCGGGAGCACCTCTGGCAACGTTTGCCACGAAGCAGCCCATGCTTTGGTGGTGAGACCTCAAGTCACATGCAAACCTGCAGCGTTGCAAAGTCACCTCAAGCTCCCCGCCAGAACTTCTCTGTCCTTGAACAGAAACTGCAACGCCGGTTCGAGCGCATGAACTCGAGCGCAGGCTCGATGTCGCTGGGCAAAAGGGATTTGGAGCCTGGGCCGGCTAGAGTTGGAGATGGGTTCTGGAGCAAACCATCCAGGCGTGGGCCATCCTGGGCCATCCTGGACCATCGTGCTCGTGACTTGGGACAAAAAAGTCCTTGACTAATCTCAGGGAGAGCCACGAGCCTAACCCCAAACTTCCTGGACCAACGACACCCGGACTGAGATGAAGGAAGAAGCTTGGACTGCTGATATGTGCGACACTGAGCTGCAGCGCAGAATTGCAGAGGCTGGTTCTTACCTACGGTCTCACAGAAGGCTGCCCACTACTCTCAGTGCGGAACGAAACCCTTTGAGAGAAGCCGGCTTCGAGTACTGGGTGAATTGTCGAACTCTGGGCAAGCGGCTTGTGGCCTGTGGCTGGCCTGCTGTTTGAAGTATCTGCAAAATGAGCCTACTGGGTTGCAAGCGTGTTTTCTGCGTTGCAGCTCGGCTGCTCAGGTGAAGCATCCGGCCTTGCGGGCCTGGCTACTACAACCTCTGCCTGCCGACATGGGAGAGAGCCTGGCATGTGGTTCCGTGGGGGACCACGCTGGCCTCCACCCAATCCGCCCACCAGAGGCAGTCAAGCCC